GAAAATGGAAACCAGAATTGCAACACAAGGGACAGGAAAAATAAATCCTGGCCTCAGTGAGGATGATGAATTTGTTGCTGCTGCCCAGGGTAGCCCAGGGAAAGACACCTCTCTGCTCCTCAGTGCCTGCATAGCCCCATTTCAGCCACCGCAGCTAGTGGGTTTAGGTTCAAGGGGTCATTTTTCCACCGAGAAGAGACCTCCCCACCCAGATGCTTGGAGCTCCACACAAGACAGACTGGGGTTTCCTGTCTGGTGTTAACCTCAGTGTTCTGTCACTAACTCACGCTCATTCCTTCTACGATATGCAGGAAGCAAATCAGTGAGAAAGAGTCTGTCCTGAGTACAAACAAGAATATACCTGACCTGGATTTTAGGGCCAGGAAGTTGTGTACTGCTGGAGGAAGGAATATGCCTCAGAAGGGATTCCAATAAGTGCCTCCCAAAAGAAGAGTAAAAAATGTAAAATAATTTCACTTATTTTGCAATTGTGCCAGGGAAAAGTGATATAACAAAGCAGGGAAAAAAACCTGAAGAATTCAAATTATACAAATTATCTCTACTTTTACAATTATTCTGAGGTTCCATTAAGATGCTTGTGTATAAAAGTAAAAATGCAGGCTGATTATCTCCAATTAAAAACTCAAAATCATCCAGGCTCAGTGGCTCAGCCTATAATCCCAGCACTTTGGGAGGCTGAGGTGAGTGAACTGCCTCAGCCCGCGGGTTCGTGACCTGTCTGGGCAACTTGGCGAGACCTCATCTCTACAATAAGTCAAAAATTAGCTGGGTATGGTAGCGCGCGCCTGTAGTTCCAGATACTTGGAAGGCTGAGGCGGAAGTATCGCCAGAGCCCAGCTGGTCGAGGCTGCGGTGGCCGGGAGCAGCCACTGCACTCCAGTCTGGGTGACAGAGTGAGACTCCAACTCAAAAAAAAAAAAACAAAAACAAAAATTCAAAATCTGAAATGCTCTAAAATCCAAAAGAATTTTCAGGGCAGGCATGACAGTTAAAGAAAATGCTCACTGGAGGACTTTGGATTTTTGGATTTGGGATGCTCAACTGGTAAGTATATGATGTGTATATCCCCAAATCTGAAAAAGATCAGAAATTGGAAACACTTCTGGTCCCAATCATTTCGAGTAAGTGATACCCTACTTGTATGATTCCTATAACTTACCCAGTGGTCAACACAAAGAGCATGGCAGGAATATCCCAAGGATAAGTAAATAAGGATTAGGTTCACAGCTTCACCTGCCCCATCCTTTAGTGTAATGCCAATTAATGCATATTTGAAAAACTGATCATACTTGGCACATAGTAAATGTTAGCTGGTAAGTATAATAAGGAAACATACTGTTTTCTTAAGTCTGGTAATCACTATACTTGAATCCAAAATCTCGCTGGTGAGGGAATTGTTGAGGGTTATTCAAATAGCTAAAGATGCTGAAGCAACCATTTGTATACCTAATCCTGAATTGCAACCCCCACATCCTTAAAATAATAAAAATAAAAAAGATGCTCAAGTAAAGCTCCAATCATATCATAATCATCTTGCAAATTGCATGATTGCAAATGACTGGATTCAGGTCTTCCTATGTTATAAAGAGAAAGCCCAGTGTGTTTATATCAAATCTACAAGAGGTCCACCAATGCACCTCTGTGTGCAGCTGTTTTGTTGCTGGTTTTTTTTTTTGAGTTGGAGTCTCACTGTGTCACCCAGACTGGAGTGCAGTGGCACACTCACGGCCAGGCCACTGCAGCCTTGACCTGCTGGGTTCAGGTGATCCTTCCGCCTCAGCCTTCCAAGTAGTGCTTTGGTTTTTGTTTTGCTCATTCTCATCACATAGTTCATGGAAAACTTTTGGACTTGGTGTAAAAAGCTTGGATAATCACCCTGACTGTGAATACATATGATCTTGTATGCTGAAATACTTTATATCTAATAAAGTCTACATTAAAAAGGACATTTTACGGTTTCTACTTTTATGACCTTAGACAATTTTTCTGAGTTTCAATTTCTACATTTGCAAAATAGGAACAAATACAAATTATTTCTACTTTTACAATTATTCTGAGGTTCCATTAAGATGCTTATGTACAAAGTCCTATACAAAAGGTGTAATTGCTATTATTTCATTGAAGCGAGGATATCATTTATTGTAAGACAGGTTAGTTTATATGTATCACTATGAAAAAAATGCTGTCAATTCAACTATGACATGCTACTGCTTATAAAAGAAATCCAATTTTGGATATGTTAAAATGAGAAAAAAGTTATGAAAACATTTGATCCAAATCACCTTAGACTTGGGATATGAAATTCACTCATACATATCTATATTCAATATTTTTATTACTAAATTGTAGCCTGATGGGTTACATACCTATTCTATGGTAAACATTTATGAAGGGGATTTTTTAGGGGCTTGACGTTTGATAAAAGCCTTCATGTTCAATGGAAGCATATATTTGTCTGGACACTAAACTCTCCTGCAACCCATGCTCCGCTCTGCCACAGTAACATGTGTGGTCATTAATCTCAGATGCTGGTGTACATGGAATAATAACCACAGCCAAGTAGCTAAACCTGGCAGGAAGCTAAGAAACACCTATTTAATGGAAAGGTTCACTGGATTATAGCAACCTTTTAGCTGGAAAAGCTGAAACATTAAAAAAAAAAGGTACACTAGACACAATTCCAGATATGATATGTTGGTTGTTACCCTTCTACCTGACAAGCATAAGCGATAACACAATGTGGTCAGTTGGCTGACTTCTTACGTCTTTATTAGAGACATAGTTATAATAGGTTTAAAAGAGGTCATTTCCAATAGGTAATTCATGACTTTCTAAGAGACTTTTCAAGATATCTCATGCAGTATCTTCAGACATCATATAGTTAATTCTAAATATCCATAATAATGGGAAAAGGAAATAGCCTGGGCCTTCAGCAGTGCCTTAGAGTGTGGGGAAAGGATCCAGAGATGATTATATGATAGTAAGGGTTTGAAAATTCAGATACTGATAACATAAAAACAGAAATTTTAGAAAGTGATTTTAGAATGCACTTGGCAACGTTGATAGCTGTTTTTAAGTAATAACTTGGAAACATTTAAAATAAAATTAATAACGAGTTATATTCTTTGCTTTACAACCATTCATGTAGTTTTAGATGTGGCAAAATAGGCAATACAAAACAAAACCTGTCTAAGAAATACCAAGTTCAAATTGCAGATGAGAGACGAAAAAAGGAGTTCCTGGATACCTTTTTACTCAGATAAATATCCTGTAAATTTGAAATGAACACTTGTTGATTTGCTAATGACTTAAAAATGCACAAGATAATATCAATTAAAAACTGCATGCAAGACCTTGGTTACTTTACTATAATGAATATATAATGTTTCTTAAAACACAGTCAGTGAATGTGGAACATAAGAAAGTCCAGCTAGGCTGTAGTGTACTAGAACAGTGGTGACAGAACAGATAGTGAAGAAAATGTGCAACCAGAATTACAGTAACATTTCAGAATGTACTCACAGGCATGTCACTTCTACAGAGAGGAAATTATTTCGAAAGTGACTAGTTTTGGTCAATGGTTTTGGTTTATATCTCAGAAAATAAGAAGTCAGGTAGAAAAATCACAAATAAATAGCATTGATATGCCTCATTTCTTGATCCAGAAGGACAAGTTAGCTCATGCTAGTGAAAACTTTGTCACTGTTGAGGGTTCTGTGAAGCAATTTTATTACTCATCATCTTAATAATAGTAACTTTTCTTCAAAATATTACCTTTCAAGTGGTTATCTTTGCATCTCAACTCATTTCTGATTTTATTTCTCTTCGTTTGGCAGCTATCTATATAATAAGAAGCAGCTTTCCTTATATAATAAGAGACATCAGGGAATTCAGCAAATGGAGTTCTTGGGGCTTAACAAGGAAGAAAGTCGGGAGCCAGTTTTAAGAGTGGCATACTCAGGCCGGGCATGGTGGCTCACTCCTATAATCCCAACTCTTTGGGAGGCCAAGGTTGAGTCCACGGGTTCGAGACCAGTCTGGGCAACTTGGCGAGACCTCATCTCTACAATAAATCAAAAAATGAACCAGGCATGGTGACACATGCCTGTAGTTCCAGCTACTTGGAAGGATGAGGCAGAAAGATCATCTGAGCCCAGCTGGCCGACAGAGTGAGATTCCAACTTAAAAAAAAAAAAAGAGTGGCATACTCGTCCACACTTTAGATTAAAAAACAGCATACTTGAGTATATTTTTAATTAAAAAACAGAAGCTTTTCTGGTGTCCAGTAATAACTTCAACAAAAGCATAGTAGATAGACTCAAACAGGCCTAAGAGTTCAAGCCCCGAGCTTTTTTTTACAGACCTCTGCAACACATGAAAAGTTATAGCCAATTAAAAGAGTCCTAAAGAAATTCCTTTCCTTTGTTGTGAAATTGAGTTTAAAGAATCCTGACCTAACCCCATGAATCCCCCAGAATCTGCTTCAATCCTAGAGTGAGATTGCTGGATATTATTCTAAAATGTCCCAAGGTTTTGAGATTATCAGTAAATTTGGGTGTTCTGTGACAAAAATCTGCCCTTTTTCTCTTTGGCTTTCTTTTCCTTACCATCTCTTTCTTTTGTATCTTTCAGTTTCCTCTGCTAAGAGAATGGACATTTTAGCTACCTATTCAGACCAGCTGAACAAAATGTTACAAAATTACTTGATGCATACCATACTGGGCCCTCATGGACCTTTCCCTAATTGTCAGCATAGTGCTTGTGGGTCACATTTTGCTTCTGTGTGTTTTTTAAAAGAGCAGCCATGTTTAGCGTTGTGAAATATGATCTGTCTCCTCCTCTCCCTATCCTCTAAAGCAGTGATAAATTTCAGAGCATGCTCAGCAGAATTGGATTATATTATGCACAGTACACATGTTCACACCAAAACTGTACTCCCAGAATGGATGCAAGTCGAATGAATTGCTGAGACGTCAAAATCCCAGTTCCTCAGAATTGATTTTATTAGCCAATACATACCAAAGATAGGTGGTAAAAGGAGGATTATTTTTGCAGTTTTCTTTCATAGTTATGCTATCATGGACTGTGGTTTTCCAGTCTTCTGATTAAGCCTTGCCAGCCGTGTGCCGCTGCAGCACCAAAGACACAGCTTTGCAGCCCGTCACCTCCTCTGGCAGGCAGCCGTCCTGGTCTCGGAGCATGGGGTCAGCACCAGACTGGAGCAGCAGCTCCACGATATCCAAAAACTCACAGGCAGCAGCTGAAAGGAAACCAACAGGAAAGCAAGGTGACCACAAGACAGAGAAACAAGTACTTCAGCAGCAAAAGAAAGTGCTCGGCAACCAGGGAGACTGGGCCACAGGCCAGGCTCTCACGGTGGCCCGGCGACCTGTAGATGGGGACCGTGGCACTACGCTAGATTTTAAGGCCTGGGAAAATCAAATGTACCTTTCTGGTTGCCTAGAAACACACAAACAAATATATTTCTTAAAACTGAGGGTTTTGGACTCTATTCTTTAAGAACAGGATGGAGTGAAGGAATTAAAAAATACAGTGTTTATGTATTGATTTTACTGTGATCTTTACTTCAGAATAATGACAGGAATGCAGGATATGGCAAAAGGCTAAAAGTTTTGTAAAGTCAGACAATATTTGAATTGGCGTCTCACTTTGTCTCCCAGGCTGGAGTGCAGTGGCATGAACACAGCTCACTGCAGCCTCAATCTCCTGGGCTTAGGCGATCCTTTTTCCTCAACCTCCCAAGTAGCTGGGACTACATGTGTGTGTCACCATGCCCAACTAATTTTTGAATTTTTTGTAGAGACAAGTTCTCACTATGTTGCCTAGGCTGGTCTCAAACTCTTGGGCTCAAGCAATCCTCCTGCCTAGGCCTCCCAAAATGCTGGGATTGAACTTAATTTTTCCTCTTTATTTCAATAGCTTTAGGGGTACATATAGTTTTTGGTCTGGGCTTTAAGTGTGCCGCCACCCCCACCTGTGCACACTGTACACGAGAGGCGATCTTGTGTCCCTCTACCCATTTCCCTTCTGAGTCTCCATGTCCATGATACCATTCTCTGTCTTTGTGGATCCTTAGTTTAGCTTCCACTTATAAGTGAAAACACGTGGTGTTTGGGTTTCTGTTCCTGAGTTATGAACTTCAAAATTGTAAATGAAAAACTTAAAGCTGGCCTACTAGTAAGACTATCCCTCTAGGGCACGGGTCACCAATCCCCAGACCACAGACCCGTACCAGTCCACGCACGGCCCATCATGAACCTGCAGCACAGCAGGAAGTAAGTGAGCGTTGAGTGGAGCTCTGCCTTCTGTCAGATCAGCAGTGGCATTAGATTCTCACAGGGTTGTGAACATTACTATGAACTGCACATGCTAGGGAAGTAGGTTGCATGCTCTTTATGAGAATATAATGCCTGATGATTGACCCCCACCCCTCCAGACCCCCCACGAAAAAACTGTCTTTCACAAAACAGATCCCTGATGCCAAAAAGGCGAGGATCACTGCTCTAGGGAACTTTTAAAAAATATTAAATGGCACCAATGGGTGTCACTGGTAAGTCCAAGGCATAGGGAGGAGAAAAAGAACCCATAGATATTAAAACTTATTCTAAAGATTGTATGGTCTTGCCTCACGACGGACAAACATACCAAAGTGTGAGAACAGAGAGCTCTCTTCCTGGGTACACACATGAAAACCTGATTCATGACAAAACTAGCACTGCAGACCCCTGAGGAAACACAGACTCGTTCATAAGACAGTGCTGAGACAACTGAGCAAAAGGCAAAATAGACATTTCGCACAGACAAAACACAAATGGCAATAAACATGGGAAAAGACGAGCCATATTATTCACCAAGGAAATGAAAAGCAAATCCGGAGAACCCATTTCACACCCACTAGCTTGGCGGAAACTAAGGGCTTCGACGGTGCCCAGCACTGAGATGGGCTGTGGCAGGGAAGCGCCCTTCAGACTTTGGAGCGTGTGCAATGGTGTGCAGCTATCTAGGCAGAACTCTGGAATTACAGACCCTCAGACCCAACAATTCTACCTGGAGTTATATGCTCTATGGAAGCTTTTGCATGTGTCCGCTAGGAGATATTTACAATAATTTACATGGCAGGACTGTTCATAATGGACCTCATATGTAAATAACCCAAATGTTCATGAATAGTAGCATGTCAAAATAAAATATCATTTACTTGTACAGTGAAATCCCATACAACCTGGAAAATGAATGAACTCTAGCTGCTCACACCAAGGGTTTATGTCCAAAACATAACGTTGAAGGGAAAAACGCAAGTGAGAAGACTATAGAGCATATGACTCTATTTGAACACAACTTTAAAAATCGACAAAACTAAACACTCTTGTTTAGACATACAAATGTGTAGTGAAACTATAAAGGAAAGCATTCATACAAAATTAGGGGCAGTGGTGATCTCGGGGACTTGCTAGGGAGCCACATGTTTGGGGAGGCATGCATGGGGGCTTCAAATCTATTGGTGATGTTCTATTTCTTAAGCTAGGTGGTAGATACATTTTTTTGTTTTGTCATTCTGTTGCCCAGACTGGAGAGCAATGGCATGATCATGGCAATCGTAACCTCGACCTGCTGGGCTCAGGTGATCCTTCTGCCTCAGCCTTCCAAGTAGATGGGACTACAGGCTTGCAGTACCACAGTCGGCTAATTTTTTAAAAATTTATTGTAGAGATGAGGAATCACCATGTTGTCCAGGCTGGTTTCAAACTCCTGGGCTCAGGCAATCCTCTCACCTCAGCCTCCCAAAGTACTGGGATTACAGACATGAGCCGCTGTGCCTGGCCCCCATTTTTAAAAGTTATATCTTAAAATGTTTATACACACTTTAAATGCTTTTTTTTGTAGTGCAATTATTACCCAACAAAAAGCTAAAAACATAGAGAAAGGGTATGGAGCTTGATTCATGGCCATTTTACTGAGCACATACTGTACTAGTCCTAACAAGAATAAAGGTACAATTTCTGCTCTTGAGAATATATTATAAATACGCAAATCACCAACTCTAACACCAAAGGAAGAATAAGTACTGTGTCAGAGATGGACACACTGCAAAGCCGGGGGGGAAGAGGTGAGGAGAAAATGGAAGAATCAGGAAAAATACCACAGATAGGGGGTGTATAAGCTGAGCTCTGAAGGATAGAGTTTTGCCAGGTACTCTGAGAAGGAAAGGCACCGCAGAGTGAGAAAATACCACTAGCAGACGTATAGCAGGGAATTCTGAGAACTGCCTGCTGGCTCAGGAAAGTAATAAAAAGTTGAAACTACAGGGGTTAGATTGAAGTCAAATTATGTAAGGCCTTGAATGCCATACTAAGAAGTTTGGGTTTCACATGTGATTCACAGGCATTTATGAGGAAGAGAGTGGCATAATTTGTCTGCTAGGATGACAATTCTATAAAGAATAATTTAGAGAGCTTAGAAATGTTTGGCAGGTAGACTAACTGGTATAATTTATCTGTTTTTCTAGTTTGCGTTTTCTGTTTTCTATCCAAAAAATCTTTGCCTACCCAAGATCACAACAATTTTCTTCTAGTTTCTTTGTAATTTTAGCTGTTACACACATGTCTAAGATCCTACATCTCCAGTTAATTTTGAGTAGGGCATGAGGAAACGATTGAGGTTCACTCCGTCCATCTGCATACGGAGGTCTAGTTGTCCCAGCTTCACACGTTGAGAATACTTTCCTCGTATCCAGCAATTATCTTGGTTTCCTCATCAAAAACCCACTAGCCTTTCGTGACAATCTATTTCTAGGTTATCTATCATGTGTCCTTGAGCTACACATCAGTCCTTATACCAACACCACATTATGTTGCTTTCTGTAGCTTCATAGTAAGTCTTGAAATCAGTGTGGGTCCTCCAACTTTGTTCTTTTTCAAAGTTGCTTCGGTTATTCTGGCTGTTTGGCTTTTCCAAATACATTTTAGAATCAGCTTGTAAAATTTTACAAAATATCCTGCCAGAATTTTAACTGGGATCATGTTGAATCTACAGATTAATTTGGGTAGAATGGATAGCCTCACAGTAGTAAGTCTTTTGATCCATCAAGTATCACTCTCCATTTACTTAGGTTTTCTTTAACTTCTACCACAGTGTTTAGGAATTCTCAGAACACAAATCTTATACTGATTTGTTTGCTGTATCACCAAAAATTTCACATTTTTTGAGGCCACTGTAAGAAGCATTTTTAAAAATTTCAATTTCCAATCAGTTCACTTCGAGTATAAAGAAAAACAATTGATAATTGTATACTGACCTTGTGTTTTCAAATTTCAATTTCCAATTGTCCGTTACTAGTACGTAGGAATACTGTTATGTATTGATTTTGTATCCTATGAACTTGCTGAACTCACTTACTAGTTCTAGTAGGGTTTTTTCTTTTAAGCAGGTTCTCATTCTGTCACCCAGGCTGGAGAGCAGTGGCATGATTCCAGTTCACTGCAGTCTCAACCTTTTGGGTTCAGGTGATCATTCTACCTCAGCCACCCGAGTAGCTGGGACTACAGGTGCATGCCACCATGCCTGGCTATTTTTTTTTGTACCGATGAGGTCTTGCTATGTTGCCTAGGCTGGTCTTGAGTTCCTGGGCTCAAGCAATCTTCCTGTCTCAGTCTCCCAAAGTGCTGGGATTACAGGCATGAGCCACTGTGCCTGGTCACCTCTAGTAGTTTTGGTTTTTTTAAAATAGATTCTCAGGGTCTTCCACATAGGTAGACACATCATCTACAAATAAAGGAAGTTTTATTTCTCCTTTTAAAATCTATATACCTTTCATTTCTTTTCCTTGCTTTAATAAAGTGACTAAGAACTTTAAGTACAATGTTGAATTAAAGTGGAGATAATGGATACCTTTGCCTTGTTACCAGTCTTAGAGGGAAAAGCATTCAGCCTATTATCATCAAGAAAGACATTTTCTCAGGTTGAGGAAGTTCCCTACTACTTGCTGTGAGGTTTTGTTATTGTGGTTTTAATTATGAAGGGAGGTTGAATTTTGTCAACAGCCTTTCCTATATGTATTGAAATGATTACATGTTTTATTTTTGGTTGATTGATACTATAAAATACAATGATTTTCAATTGTCAAACCAACCTTGCATTCTTAGGATAAACACACTTTGAACATGATTTATTATCCTTTTCGTTTTACTGGGTTCAATTTACTAACATCTTATTAAAGATTTTTATATCTTTGTTCATAAA